TTTTTTTTTTTTTTTTTGGTTTTTTAGGTTAAATTATTTAAAAAAAAAATTAAAAAAAAAAAAAAAAAAAAAAGAAAAAAAAAGAAAGTGTCTTATGAATTAAAAAAACAAAACAAAAAAAAACCACTCCAACTGAAATGTATATGATTGTTTATTTCAAAAACATCCAACTAATTTCAACAATGACAGCATTGAAAGCAATAAAACAACGTCAACAAGGGGATATAATTAATAACACAAATTTTGGGGTGGTTACACCAAGGGGCACATTTCATTTTAGTTGTTTCAATATTGATTTGTTGTTTGCTTTTGTTTTGTTTTGTTACATTAACATTTGGCCTATTGCAAAGGTTGGTTTGTATTAGTTCCATTACATTTAAGCTGTTATTTATTATACTTCATATTGGTTACATAATATTTGAACCATTACAATATTGGGTATGTCAAATATGTAGTGTTACATTTCTTTTGAGATATTTTTAAAAGTGAGTATTATACAGGGCCTATGCATTCTGTTACATAAAATTTGAACCATTTCATTTGAGCCCTTACTGTTACATTCGATTTGAGCCATTCGAACATTGACTCCTAAGTTTTGATTTTATTTACAATTAATGATTGTGGCATTGCACTAGTAATTAGATTTAGGAAAACATACGTTGAATCCCTTTTTTTCCCCTCTTAATTTATTTTTGTAAAGGCATTTTTTTTTCTTCATTGTATGCTCTTTTTTTTTTTGCTAACATTGTTAAATTTTAAACCTTATTATAAAATAATTATTAATTCTTCAATTTAAAAAAATAATCTTTTAAATTATTAAAAAATTTTTACAAATAAAATTTTTAACCATGGATATCCATTTAGGCCTGTATGTTTACTTAAAATTCAAATTAAAAGTTATTAAAATATATTTAATAAATCAATAATAGGGAAATAATAATGCATTAAATTGATATTCAATGGCTCTCAAATTCTTGTTATACAAGCCGCAAGTATTGCAAAAATATGTTTGAATTAAATAAATAAAGAATTAATTCATTATAATTATTGTGAGAGTTATTATCAATATGAAAATAATAAATACATATTTAAATTTTTAATTTGCATTGGTGTGCTTTAAACAGGCTCAATACTGATCAAGCAAAATAAAATGTTCATAAATTATATGCATACATTATTAATAGCTTTAAGTATCCATGTTCATGTAAAAGTAAAATTATAACGAAATACCAATTGATGTCCAGATATTCTTTTTACATCAAACAGTTTAGAAATACATAAAACAGTAATACTGTATTCTTTTTAAGATAAGTTTAGTTTCCTCTAATGAGAAATATTTGAATATTTAAAATTTAATGTATAATATGCACAAGCAAGCTGGGTAAGAATTTAAATCAATTAATAAAAAGTTGAATTGTAATTATTTGTCTCTGCACAAAAAGTTGTATGATTAATTTTAATTTAACTTAATACTTTTTAAATATAAATGTTTTATGCAAAACTAAACACGGGACCACAAAAATCAACAAAATACAATAATTTTAACAAGATTAGATTAACACGTTAGGTTAAATACATTAATAATTGAATTATATTAAGCAACATAATTTGAGCAAAAATAAAATAAAAGCAACAATTAAATTATTTCAATCTTTACGTCTGTTGGTGCACAAGAATGAACTCATTCACTTACAGTAATAAAATTGATCAGAACAGAGCTTTCAAAGACAGGTCACTGAAAACACTACCTACCAACGTTAGAAGAAAATGCCATTCATTGTATGCGTAATTTTTATGTTATTTTTTCAATACTTTCTAAAATTATCATATAGTATAGTATAATGTAATCTTGCTCAGTACCCGGTAGTTTCAAGTCATTCGATTGCTAGACACTAGAAATATTTATTTTAAAAAAAAACAAACTAACTTTTAACTTTTCTAAAGAGATAGAATACTGTCGCAAATTATAAATGACCTTAGGAGATCACAACACTGTATTATGAATGTTATCATTTTGATCTTTATTAAATTCTGGGTCAGTATTATTTTTATTATCAAATATAATCAAAATAAGCGTATATTAAAACTACAAAGTGGCTTTTCGTACCCGGGTCCCTTTAGACTCAATACCGTTCGGATGTCATTTGTGGTAGTTTATTTTATTTAAACTGAAGAAATAAGTTTACAAACATATAGTCCATTCCATTATCTTTCATTTGATACAAAATTTTGGCTTACAAACCCAACAACAATATTTTAAATAGTTTTATAAACCCAATCTCTCACTCTCACTTTTGAATCCAGGGTCCGAATGGGCGCAGCCTTGCAAATATGTCAACTATATTTTGCATAAGTGGATGCATACATGGGCGCCCGCAGAAAACTTTCTAGGGGGGGGGGGACAAAAAATTTGATTAACTTTCCAGGGGGGGGGGGTAAAAAGTTTTTAGTAATGTTTTAATGTGGTTTTAATTTACTTGGGCAAACAATTTTTAGTAATGTTTTAATGTAGTTTTAATTTACTGTAGCGTATTTGTATGGTGAACGAACGGACAGGACATCAGCTTAGTTACTTTCTCTTTATTTTCTCTTTACTTTAATACATTGTTTGTCTATTTGTGCCCCCCTTCCCCCCCCTGCGGGCGCCCATGGATGCATAGTTACTTTTTTAAAAAGTTTACTTTAAAATATTTCTTTTAAAAATTCATTTAACTTCATTTGCTTCAAAACCAAACACTGTCAATTTTTTAAACTCTACTCCTTAAACTATATTAGTGAGAAATTCAACTAGGTACATATGGAGACCCCTGTGAGGTTCTATTACTAGGCCTACTAGAATTTACTCGAATAAATAATACTTAATGAGCATTTCAAAATTGTACAAACGAAAGTACAACAAATGAGTTTACATCAACGTATCAAGCTATTTTTACACACCCAACATAACAGGGAATAAATAAATGAGCATTGTCGTCTGTTTTATTTTTTAAGTAGATTAAAAACATATAAATGCGTTTTGGTTCAAATTAAATAATCAGTCATTAATAATTTATGTTTCGTTTAGATATTTTTTTTTTAAGTAAACAAAAATATGTAACGTGCAATTGGTAGATAACAAATGTTCATTTATAAATATTATAATTAAAGTTAGACAAGATGAAGATTATTTGCCAGGTAGGCGTGCCCTCTTTTAAATTTAAATTACTAAGCCCAATTCTTCTGAGTTTCGGATCAGACGAAACTATTTCTCTTAAGTGCAAGTAGATCTATGTGTCTGGGAATCATGGCATTTATACAGAATCTTAAGACCTAACTGGATCTGTTTTTAAATAGCAATTGTTTCTGGAGTCATCGAAAATGCATTAAAAATGGCTACATTTTTTTTATCGTATTTCTTATTACTAAACAATACATTTCAACTTTAAATTTTTTTTTTAAATTGTGAGTGATGACAGATCATCCCTCTCTTTTAACCACAAACATTTTTTGACAATATTCAAAAAATGACAGGATGCTATGTTTAAATTGAGGACAACCTTTTCTAAGCCAGCACGGTTTAAGAGATGTGTCGTATTGCCAGAACTTCTTTGGCTAAAATTGTTGTAGATTAATTCAATCCGTGTTGTCAGCGAGTATTTCGTCAAATCGGTTCCAGGATGGTGGTTTTTCCATAGCTTTTTTTTTCCTTTTCTTTTTTCGCTACACTTTTGATAAATCCAGTGTTTATATTTACTGGTAATTATTTTTATTTTTTTTTCCCTCAGAAACAAAGGTTGGGGAAAAGTGAAAAAGTAACGAGTCAGCTCACAAAAGTCTAGGATGATAAAAAATAAATATTCTGTTTCCTTTAAATTTATTTTTAAAAAATATTCTCATACTTTTATATCTGGATGACACCTTATTTAAAAGTTTAAGTTTTCTTCTCCATGCGATCCATAATAAAACAAAAATCGTTTGATGTAACTAAAATCTTGAAGGGATGTCCTCTACTGTTTTTCTTAACGACATTCAGCGTAATAATTTACCTTTTTTTTTAATTTAAAAAAAACAAAATAATTTCTTTATGTGTTGTTAAGTCAACTCACTACATGCACCCACATTTTTCTACAATGACTTTGGGCAAAATTTTCGTAACAATTTTTTCATTTTCATAGGTCATGATGAATGTGTCTTTTAGAATTAAGGGCACACAGCAAGGCTTGAGCTGTTCTCTCATGGACGACTCTGTGCTGTGCAACCAGCGGATGCGTTGCTTGATTGACGTGTGGTTATAAGTAAACTGATCGATTCCTGAAAGAAAGAAAAAAAAAAGAGAAAATATTTTGGTAAGTGGAAGCATTACAATTTTTAAAATTATTGTTGGCTCTTGTCAGGTGATAGTTAAAACAAACTGCATGGCATAATCATGTTACTATTAAATCTTACTGACGGCTACGGTAGTATTAAATCTAACTTTCGGTAGTATTAAATCTTATTTTCGGTGTTAAATCTTATTTTCGGTATTAAAACCTTATTTTCGGTAGTATTAAATCTTACTTACGGTAGTTTAAATCTTACTTTCGGTAGTATTAAATCTTTCTTATGGTAGTTTAAATCTTACTTTCGGTAGTATTAAATCTTACTTACGGTAGTATTAATTCTTAATTTCGGTATTAAATCTAACTTTCGGTAGTATTAAATCTTACTTTCGGCATTAAATCTTACTTTTGGTATTAAATCTTACTTTCGGTATTAAATCTTACTTACGGTAGTATTAAATCTTACTTACGTTAGTTTAAATCTTACTTTCGGTAGTATTTCATCTTATTTTCGGTAGTATTAAAATTTACTTTCGGTAATAAATCTTACTTTCGGTATTAAATCTTGCTATCAAACTGAGAACCGGGGCCCGTGAAAAGAAAACAAAGAATGACCAAGTTTGAAGAGGCTAATTTGTGTGTACATCGTATCTAAGAAAAGTAATTAGTGTCAGAGCCAGGAAAGAGCGCTGGAAATGTAAATGTATGTGTAGCTCGGTTAATTATGAGCTCCTTTTATCGCCTTTTAATATTCTAAACATTGTCAAATCGCACCCTGTCGCTTGTGTGATTCCTCCCATCTTTAACATTCAATCTTTTGTTAGTGCAAGAGAAGTCAAAAGTTGGAATCTCTTCCCCTGTCATTTTTTTTTCTTATTCCACTTCCTAGAATGATTAAAACATCATTGTACACGGTGTTCAATTAAAAAAAAAAAAAAAACAGCTCATCGATGTTCAATAACAACTATAGTAGTCTATAGGCCGACCAACTCAAAGACAGAGAGAGCTTATGACAATTATTGGCTCACACCGACAAAACGTCTCTTTTAAGTGCTGAATGGTTACATCTGGATGATGTTGACTTATCTGATGTATCAGTTTCGCAAGATGAACATGATAAATCAGCTACTATAGACTGTGTCCATCAGGGGCGTCAGTTCAGGTTTTTTTTCAGGGGAAGGGAAAGGGGGAGGGGGGGGGGTAAAACCAAAACTTCGTCGGCTCATTAAGTTGTTTATAACTGGAGGCGCCACAGTACATAGCAATTTTAATAAAACCAGAAAAATCAGTGGGGGCGGGGGGGGGAGGGGTCCCCCTTGCTCTGCCCAAATGATGTCCCTGATGCTCGTTGTTACGCTACAGCAACACCTGGCTACTCCATGTGAAGATAAAAGCAGGTAGAAACTATACTATAATTGTCAGCTATACTGACAATAATCATATTTATACTTCCACAAACAATGCTATTAAGTTCTTAACAACCTTTTAATTGATTCTGCATTATAAAATTTAAGTGTAAAAACTTTTGAACTAGTTGATTAACAAGCTAAACATGTCATCAAATGTTGCCCTACAATTGTACGTGTCATTGAAATAGATCAGCACAAAATAAAATGTACTTATAAATTAATTTGTATAATAATTCATTAATTTTTTTTTTTAATTTTTTTTTTTGGGGGGGGGGGGGGTNAAGGGGAAGGGGCGGGGGTAAAAAATTGCATTAAAATTGTTGACGCAATTAATGGACGACCCCTCTAGACACATACATTTAAAAGAAAACATTTTAAAGTTTTTTTTGTTTTTTTTTTTTAAACCTTGACCAAGGAAAATTAATTTAATCATATACATTGATTCATATTTTTACACAGACCCAAAAAACTGTTTCAGCTGTTTGGGGGGGGGGGGGATTGTTTAAACTGAGAGCCCTGATTGCTAATCATACTTTTTAAAAATAACTATGAGTTTGTTTTATTTGAATATTTCAGAAGTTTCCAGGTAACAACAAAGCGATCTTGTATAGAAAATTGGAAGAGCCCGTAATATAAACAAAATATATTTTGTTTTCTCTCGTTGATTTTTTTTCTTCTCATCCTTATACATTTTAAAGTACCACAACAGAAATTGTATCATCTTAGTAAGCAGTTTTTTTTTAAAAATTTTTTTAAAGGCAATCGTCACTCACCATCGCAGTATCCGTAACAGTAGCCAACGGATAGAGTTTTAGGTTGGAGGATGTTGTGCATGTTTAAAGCTTCAAAGTCAGCCGTCAGATTCCCCTTGCAGCATTCCGTTTGAGGGTTACACGTCCTAGTCTCAGTTCTCTTCTTGCGCACATCGTAGAAACCTTTCAAGTACTTGATGACAAGAATCGGTTTATAACCATGCTGTTAAAGAGAAATGTCATGACGTTTTTTACCCCTTAAAATATGAAATGAAGACACATTTTAAGATGTTTTCTTTTCTAAGGGGAAGACATAATTTAAAAAAAAAAAAAATACTTCTGTGTAATAAATCAATTAAATTATTTTAATCCCAAAGATAATTTAATAGACACATTACTTTTTAATATTTCAAATCGGTAATCCTTTCAAATCTATAACTTATAACAAAGCGTAAAAACATAATCCTCTTTTTAAATCCTTTATATTAACTTCGCTTTTGTGTGTTTAGAGCAAAAATCTTCGGACGCCCCATTGGCTCACTTCTCGTCAACCTATCGAGCTGAAACTTGGCACATAGACTCGTTGTCGATAATAACATAATCTTTCATTTTCACCCCCCCCCCCCCCCACGATCTTAACCGCCAAAAATCAGTTTTTCCTGTTTTTGAAAGGGAAGATGGAGGAAATATAATGACACCGATTTCACGAAATAAAATCCCCCATGAATGCGACCAGATTCTTTTCATTATTATTATTTTAAATTTCGCAAGTGCGTTTGGTGCGTAATGTTTTCAGTTGTGTTTCTGTAATAGTGGGTGAAATAATTGTGCGGTGTAAAAGCGGGGTGGGACATACAAATATTAATACAGAATAATAAAAAAAAAAATGCATTTATTTTATAAGAAACATTTTGTTGGTATGGGTTATTTAATTTTTAATTAATGAATAATTTGGTTTTGCTAAGCACCAAAGAACAAGCAATACCAAATGGCTTACTTTTGCCCCATAGAGTGCCTTGTAATTCCTGGTGGCGCAGGTTTTGCACCGTACGGCCAACATCTGATTGGCTGTTCGTTTCTCGAGCCAGCTGGTGACGTATCTCGTCACGTTGATGTTGACCCAGTCACCCATAGTCTGCAGCTCTTTACGCGCAATCTGGCTTTTCTCCTGCAGCAGGCCACTGAGGAATCACAAGTGTACACGTCTTACTGTTAGGTCACGAGGATGCCACTGAAGGATACCACCTTTGTTAGCCACTAATAAGATACAACGATGACGTGTCGCAGGACACACACACGCACATATACATACAAACACACACACACACAGACATATACATACATACACACATACAATTTCAATTGATTGCAATCATATGTTGGTGCATAATTGGAGTGGGGGGCATATTTCATTTCTGATGTTCCAGCCCCAGCAAGAACAAAAAATTAATTAAAATTAACTCTAAGCACTTTGGCTGGATGGGAGTTCATTTCGCGCAACCTTGAATGGTGGCTCATCTTAGAAAAGGAAGACACCTACTGCACGCCATAGACGCCCACTGGGATACGACCGCTTTTGTTGAGGCTACGTTGAGTAAACATCGATAGAACAATATGGAGATGGTCACGTATGCGGTCTGGCACTGAACTCAGTGTAATTCCGGACAACTCCTCCAATGCCGGGGTCAAGCTCTAGCGGTCTTTTGGTCGTTCACTCGAGTCCAACACCAGCGTTTGAAAATGCTGCTAAGTAAATTGCTGATTCTCCATAAAATTTTTTTTATAAAACACACCGCCAAGGCTTCGTATTTCCTCTAAAAAGAGATTGGCAGCGATTGTACACCTATCTACCACTGGAGACGGACAGATGACACTTTTTTTTTTCTACTCAATCCTGCAGGCCTAACTTTCGTTTGCTACATCTTCGGACGAACTCAACAGACTTCTCACTGTCAATACGTTGGAGATTCAAAAAATCCAGTAGTTCAACATTTGTTATAATTTAAACCCATGTGACAAAAGTTAACAGTAAAGATATTCAAAAAATAGTACTTAAAAATTCTTTCTTCAACTTAAAATTTACATTCTGCTGTGTATGTTTTTTAATGATGTCGCAGCTATTGTCCATCAAGTGCAAAGGGAATCTTGTACATGCATTAAATATATCCTTCTAATTTTAGCAAATATATTGCCTCTATCCTCTGAATAAAAAGCTGTTAGCTGAAACCTTTTTTTTTTTAAATGTTAACCTTAGATAGCAACTCATCTAAGAGAAGGAAACTTTGAATTAAAACTCGGAGATGGTGTCCCGTAGGCGGATAACATTGGTGCAATGAAACATTCCGAAAACCCCTGCGACGCCACTGGTGCCAAGCTGTATCATTCACATGATGTTCCCTTGGGTTATCCAGCGGCGTGGAGGGGGGCGATTCGCTGTTGGGAACCAGCTTATAATCCTAGAAGAATAATCCCAGGCTTTGTGGATTTCGCCCTGCGAAAAGTCACCATCGACGGACGGATGCCAGCAACAAAAATATATATATATTTGTAAATATGTCCAAAAATAAGGTGAACGTTTGTTTAAATTTTTTTTTAAAGTAAAATTACTATAACTTTTGTTATTTTAATCCTGTTTAAAATGTCAAGCAGCATATTTAATAATTTATTTTTTTAAAGTAATACATACTGCTGATTTGGCATATTAATGTTTAAAACAAAACAAAAAAAACTGGCGACAAAGTTTCAGGGTCGCCAACTTGTTGTGATATTAAACAACAGGAAGCTAGGAGGAGCCGACCTTGGTTGGTTACATCATCGTGCCGCGGAGCGAAGCCTCGCTTGCGTGCTCATTTTGTTTTAACATTCGCGGAGCCATCGATGACCCTTGTCGGCTTCGTGTTCCCCGGTGTTGAGAATGTGACGATGACGCGGTGCGGTGTTGTTTCTGTTCATGTCACGAACCGCTGACTCTCCGCTGACTCTCCGCTGACTCTCCGCTGACTCTCCGGTGATAAAACAATTTGGGTTTTTAAAAAAATGAAAATCAGCGTCTGTTGAAGGGAGCGGGCAAACAACTTTTGGCGCCATGTTGAGGTGATCAGAAGCACGCACGAAGACTTATTTGGAAAGAACGTTATATACAGACATATTTATATATATATATATATATATAATTTATATATATANACAGTCATTTTGATTGTAACGTAACGTTAAAATTTTTATTAACTCAAGTTTGGGCACGAAGTGTCCACTGACTAAAAGCTGAAACAAAGAATGGGAACACACGAGGAAAAAAAAAAAAAGAAGAACGCAACAAAACAACGAACGTGTCGGCAAGAAGCCTTCATCAGCGAAAACACCACAATAAAAACACAACTAACACTTGGCTGAAATGTAGTATCCGAGAGGGTAACAAGAGGCATGTCCTCTTCACACATAATTCACATGCTTGCATTCAATGAAAACATTTTAAAGTACTGCTTGAAATTTGCCACGCCACCCTTCACTATTATGGCACTGTGACAACTGACCACGCGCCCCCCCTCCACCCCGACCCACGGGGCGTCTCACGCAAATCGTTTTGCTTTGGGAATTGATGAGAAATTCGTGTTTACCTTCTAGCCAATCCCAGCTCATACACAATAAATGTCTGTCCACTGACGTCAGCTCTGTCCTTGGCCTTGTAAAACCACAGATGGGCCGAAGCAATGCCAGTGTTCTTGACCTTGTCCTGAAGGTCGAATGAGTAGCATCCGGTGGAGTCCTTTTTGATGCAGTTCCGACCCACTGAGGACGGGATAAAGTATAAATGTTTATACAAGCTGGACGTTTGACCTATAGATTTACTTATAAATACATACAGACACACAGAAAATATCACCTTATAAATACATACCAGAGACGTCATTTGGGTAAGGCACGGTGGGGAATTATAAGGTGATATTTTCTGTGTGTCTGTATGTATTTATAAGAAAATCTATAGGTCAAACGTCCAGCTTGTATAAACTTTCCCCCCCCCCCCCCTTTTTCCCCTTTTTTTCCTGAAAAAACCTTAAATGACGCCTTTGATACATACAGAAATGATTAACTTATAAATACATACATACATACAGAAATGATTAACTTATAAATACATACATACATACAGAAATGATTAACTTATAAATACATACATACAGACAGAAATGATTAACTTATAAATACATGCATACATACCGAAATGATTAACTTATAAATACATACATACATACAGAAATGACTAACTTATAAATACATACATACATACCGAAATGATTAACTTATAAATACATACATACAGAAATGATTAACTTATAAATACATGCATACATACCGAAATGATTAACTTATAAATACATACACACATACAGAAATGATTAACTTATAAATACATGCATACATACCGACATGATTAACTTATAAATACATGCATACATACAGAAATGATTAACTTATAAATACATACATACATACAGAAATGATTAACTTATAAATACATACATACATACCGAAATGATTAACTTATAAATACATACATACATACCGAAATGATTAACTTATAAATACATACATACATACCGAAATGATTAACTTATAAATACATACATACATGCAGAAATGATTAACTTATAAATACATGCATACATACCGAAATGATTAACTTATAAATACATACATACATATCGAAATGATTAACTTATAAATACATGCATACATACAGAAATGATTAACTTATAAATACATACATACATACAGAAATGATTAACTTATAAATACATGCATACATACAGAAATGATTAACTTATAAATACATACATACATACAGAAATGATTAACTTATAAATACATACATACATACAGAAATGATTAACTTATAAATACATACATACATACAGAAATGATTAACTTATAAATACATACATACATACAGAAATGATTAACTTATAAATACATACATACATACAGAAATGACTAACTTATAAATACATACATACATACCGAAATGATTAACTTATAAATACATACATACATACCGAAATGATTAACTTATAAATACATTCATACATACAGAAATGATTAACTTATAAATACATACACACATACAGAAATGATTAACTTATAAATACATGCATACATACAGAAATGATTTACTAATAAATACATACATACATACAGAAATTACTATTTATATCATTTTGTCAAGCTTCTACTTTTGTGGCAGCCACTTTGAAATCGGTGGAATTCGTCGTCATTTTAACACAGGAAGCGCGTTTTAACACGTAACGAACGCCGTTAGACCGACAGCAGAGGCCATCAGCTATTAAGATCTCTACCACAACCACTACAACACCTAACCAAAGTAAAAAGTAAAAAAAAAAAAGTTTTTTTCAAGTTCACAAAATATTTCACTTTTTTTTTTTTTTTTTTTTTTTTTTTTTTTTTTTTTTCATCATTTTTAAAACTAAATTTAAATTTTTACGGTGCACAAGTGTATAACAGTTTTCTCTTTTTTTGAAGTTGACCTCAGACATTCCCAGTCCTGTCTCATCTTACCATCGACACATGTTACGTTGAAATAATAACATACGGGAGTGGTATGTTGATATAAACATTTAGCCTCACTGCCCCATCTGTTTCTGCTACAAGGTTTCCTGGATGAGAGATTTTTTTTTTTACATTTGATGTCCTCGGGTGTGATATGTGTGATATGCATCGCTTCATGAGATTTTTTAGCACAGCTTCTGACCTGGGACAATGAGTGCGTGAGGACCGGAAAAGGGGGGGGGGGGGGGAATAGTAGGGAAAAAATCATGAGATTTTTTAGCACAGCTTCTGACCTGGGACAATGAGTGCGTGAGGACCGGAAAAGGGGGGGGGGGAGAGAATAGTAGGGAAAAAAAGAGGGAAAGAGAGAGGGGGCTAGAGTTGGATCCTTCAGGGAGAGAGAGGGAGAGAGAGGTGGAACTAGAGTTGGATCCTTCGTAGGGAGAGAGAAAATGAGCTAGAGTTGGATCCTACTGAGAGAGAAATTGAGAGAAATGGAGTTGGAGTTGGATCCTTTGAAGAGAGGGAGGCTGAGCTAGAGTTGGATCCTTCGGAGAGAGAGAGAAAGAGAGAGACGGAGCTAGAGTTGGATCCTTCGGAGAAAGAGAGAGAGAGAGAGACTGAGCTAGAGTTGGATCCTTCGGAGAGGAAGAGACGGAGTTAGATTTGGATCCGTCGGAGAGAGAGAGACAGGATCGACAGGGATAGAGATGAAGAAATATATGGCGATGACGTTTACATTACGCAGCTCTGTCTGGATTCAGAGTTGTTTCACACGTGGCTGGGCCACGCCCTGAAATCCTGCACAATCAATGAGGGCAAACCATTCAAGGACGCATGAATTAATTTGCCCCCCACCCCAACCACCCCACTCACGGGTCTAACAGTGCTCAGAAGGGAAACGCTTTACCCCCCATCCCCCCCCCTCCCTTGGTGGCTCGTTTATTGACCTTCACATCATATGCTCAGCGTTTCCACTATATCGCTTTTGCTTTCAAGTCTTGTCTTTTTTAAATATACGGATGGCGTAGGGGGCTTTTTAAGCGGGAAATATATTCTTTTTTTTTTTTAAATTTATTTGTATTTTTTAGATCTGAGACCAAATCCAACCATATTTTTTTTTTATATAAGACATTGACCAGCAACTACAAGTTAGATTAAAAAAAAAAAATACTTCAGAATTTTCGCCAAGCAAACAGAGGGCCATCACTGGTTCATTACCAAAAATTTTCGGCAAGCAAACAGAGGGCCATCACTGGATCATCATCAAACATTTTCGCCAAGCAAACAGAGGGCCATCACTGGTTCATTACCAAAAATTTTCGGCAAGCAAACAGAGGGCCATCACTGGATCATCACCAAACATTTTCGCCAAGCAAACAGAGGGCCATCACTGGTTCATTACCAAATATTTTCGGCAAGCAAACAGAGGGCCATCACTGGATCATCACCAAACATTTTCGCCAAGCAAATAAGAGGGCCATCACTGGCTCGTCACCAAACATTTTCGCCAAGCAAATAGAGGGCCACCACTGGCCCATCACCAAACTCACGACATGATTAACGAGTCTTGATAGCTCATTAAATATAAGCAGGTCAATTGAAGCTTGCGGTAATTTTGTTCATTATTGTGATACATTTTTTGTTAAATTAAAATTCATAAGCATTACATCGCATTAAGTATTTATGGAAGAAAACAACAATAAATAATAGTTCTATGAGACCCAGTTTTGTGTGAAAAGTAGGGCTAATTTCCGTATAAAAACGAATTTAATGTCTTCTTTGTTTTTGCCTTCAATAAATCTTCCTCTTTATTCATTACACTTTAAATTCACTTGAAAGTCACTTTCATAAAAGTTTCCTTTAGAGTGTATCATTTTCCATTGAATAACATGGGGAAAGCCAGAGGCGTAGCGAAAATATTTGGCGCCCGGGACCAAGATTCATTTTTAAGCGCCCTCTTTTCTTTTTTCAACTCTCAAACCCATTATTTTCATCAACAAAACAATATCAAAGCACATTTTGGCGCCCCTAACTAGCTGGTGCCTGGGGAGATCCGTCGCGTAAGCCCCTTGGCTACGCCTCTGGGAAAAGATATCATATGTTTTTAAACTTTAGAGGTTTTTAAAAAAAATATTTGTGTAAAACTTCACCTTGTCATTTTTAATAATAATTATGGTGGCAATGCTGTAATATATATATATATATATATATATATTACATTTTCGCCAAGCAAACATATAAAGAAGAAGGAAAAAAAGAAGACGCTTGCGTAGTGTCAAGGATTTGGATGGCAATCGTTACATTTCAGACCCGGGTCGTTAAAGCTAATTTTGTGAAAAGAGATTACTCTTCTACATTTTTTTTTCTACCGGCTTTAAATAGTCGGGAATACTATCGTGACAACATACAATGTACTCACTGTCAGGGGTCAAGAACACTATCGTGACAGCATACAATGTACTCACTGTAAGGGGGTCGGGAACACTATCGTGACAGCATACAATGTACTCACTTTATGGGGTCGGGAACACTATCGTGACAGCATACAATGTACTCACTTTAAGGGGTCGGGAACACTATCGTGACAGTATACAATGTACTCACTGTAAGGGGTCGGGAACACTATCGTGACAGCATATAATGTACTTACTGTAAGGGGTCGGGAACACTATCGTGACAGCATACAATGTACTCACTTTATGGGGTCGGGAACACTATCGTGACAGCATACAATGTTCACACTTTACGGGGTCGGGAACACTATCGTGACAGCATATAATGTACTTACTGTAAGGGGTCAAGAACACTATCGTGACAGCATACAATGTACTCACTGTCTTCTCCGGTAATAATGACCTCCTCATCCCTGGCGTAGAAGTCTTCTGGCACGTCGTCCCACCTCTTGTCCTTGAACTTCTGCTCAAACACCTCATCGGGCAGCTTGGGTATGGGCTTCTCTGAGCGCTGGGTCAGGTCTTCCGGTGACATGCGCAACTTTTGCAGGAGCAGGTCGGTGAACATGCTCAGTCGCAGCTCTTTCACCTCGTCCTCCGTCATACCCTGATTCCCACACGTCGGGCAGTCCCCATTTTCCATGTCGGGTGCTTTGGCGTCCTCGGCGCGTGTGTTTGTGTACGCCGCGTGAGAAGTGGTGGGCAGGGCATTTTTATCCTTATCGTCTTGCCGACCCGGTGAATCGGTTTGCGCCCGCAACTTCTCTCGGACGGGTTTTTCCTTAGGGGTGACCTTGCTGGGTGAGGTGTACTTGCCCTTATCAGGAAACATGCGCCTACGCTTGTCTTTCGTTTCCGGGGTCACCGATGTGCTTCTCGTCGCAAAGGTCTGGGTCTGAACGAGTCTGGTTGTCGCCGGGAGAACCTCGTCTTGAGTGTAGGAGCCGCCCGATTCGGGCGTCTTTGAAATATTTCCGGAAACATCATCACTCCCCGGAAGTGATGTCACGTGGGTGTAGTTCTGATAAGACCACGTGGAGCCGTTCCTCTTATTTTCGAGATCATCTCCCGTTAGCACCGCTCTAGAGGGGGCGGGCATTGATTTGTTATGTGTCACAGCCTCATTCTCTGGTTTATCTTTCTCGTGAAATTTCGTCACCAGCCAGGGCGGCCTGTTTAAACTTTTTGTCATTTCCAAATGCCCCACTTCCGTCATGACCTTCTCAGTGTAGACTTTCGATCGCGTCTCCTCCTCGGATACATTTTGGGCGCTGGGCTGGTCGAGAGCTTCGGCGGGAAGCGTGGGGGCGGCGGCAGATGCCACCGTGGCTTGTTCTTTGACGTGGGCGCTGCCCTGAAAGGGATGCGTAACATTAATTCTGCTGTGGTCTCTGTGGGAGGCTGATCCCGGCTCGCGTTCCCGTACGCCGTCTGTCGTGACGTTGTTCGATTCGCCGGTTTGGTGTTCATGCTCAGTTGTGGCATTCAGTTCTGTACTAATGAAGCTGCTGTTCGCATGGTCCGCCGATCGACGTGACGGAAGGCTCAGTATCTCCTCGCGACGAGTACCTTGTCTCGCCAGTCCATGAGATGGTTCTTCCGCCAGCGCGGTGTACGTCTGCGGCTCGTCGTTCAACTCACGACCATCAGACGTGACGGATGATCTCGATTTATCCCGAGGCGACGTCTTTGTGGTCTCCAAGACCGCAAAACATATGGCCCAAATCACGATAGCGAACTGCATGCTTAACATTTGGGAGCGGGGTGGATGTGGTGTTGTCACTGATCGAATGGCCGTTGCCCGATTCTTAAAGTTCGTTCTCAAAGCACTGTACTATATGAGAGCTGCTTAAATCACAAATAAAAGTTAACCACCCACCAATGACACGTTTGAGAAATGCACCAGTGGCCAGATTTTCATTGCATTTGGTATTCTTCTTGAGTTTAATTTTAAACACGGCTTCTTTTATTCGGTTGTCCAATGTAAAGATTCTTAGATATTTTTTTTAACTTCCATTAAAATGTAGAAAGTGATGCTATGAAATGGTAGTACACAAATGGCTGCTCACGTCCTCATAAGGCCGGATGTGCTGGAAATAGAAAAAACAACAACTGCATGTTGTTAATGCGAGTTGATTAATATCTAGAAAAATAAAAGAATTCAGATAGGTACTCCGAAACCCATGTTAGTTATTTTGATATATACAAGTCAATGTCGCCATATACCCATGATAACTCGCACGTGTCTTAGTTTACATGTGACACGACTAAAAGCAGTGTCGTCAATTTTTACTGCTATTTCTATGCAATTGTCTAATGCAGGCCCGCACAGCACACGGCACATGAACACACGGCACATTGAACACACGGCCCACTTTGCGGCCCGGGACTTAACGAAATATTCTTTATTCTGTAATATTTTCTGGATAGCTTTCCCCCTGTCTTATTTTTCTTTTGGCCCGCACGAGTTTTTCATAAAGTATTACGGCCCGCCTTACATTTTGAGTTCTGCAGGCCTTTTCTTATGGGTTTCACTGATTTATTTTATTATACTTTTGGATAATTCTTTTTTTTTTTTTTTTTTTTTTTTTTGTGGGTGGGGTGGTGGGGTATTACTTTTGACAGCTTATGGTTTTACAAGTTTCTTTGCATTTGCCATATATATCAGGTAATCCGATCTCATGAAAACAATTTTTTTTATCCAAATAGTAAATCGTGTGGTGAACAAAAAACGCTTATGAAAAGTGGAACAGAATGTTTTGGCTAAAGTAGTTATCAAAACATGACAACAGAAGTTGAACTCAACATATTTTCTAGAGATAAAATTATCTCCCATATAATTTATTTCAAATAAAATTGTTCTACAAAATTATTTTATTTAGTTTTGTTCCAAAAAAATATATATATATATTATGTACTGAATATAAATAATAGTTTAATATTTGGGACCAAAGTCCATACTGTTAAGCTATACCTTTTAACTCTTTAAGATTAGGCTCAAATCTGTTTTTATCATTTACAGTCTGCTAACAGTGTCCTAACAGTGTATGCTAATTGATGAAGCAACAATTACGCTCGTTCCAAAGCGAAGCACATGCTTGGGTTGCGTTCCTATCATTTTATATTTACAAATGTGGGCAGGGATAAGCAAAGAAATATTTCCCTTGTCACCATTTCGAGAGACGCCTTCTGGTAATCATAAGTTAACGTGAAAATAACGCCTTTGATTTTTGAGGAGGAAATTCCTAATAATTATTTGATTTAAAAAAAAACAAAAAAACATATCATTATTTCCCATCTGGAATTTTCAAACTGGATCATCATCTCATTTTATGGAATTCTCCGGCTTAACTTAATAACAGTCTTAAGTGTTACTGTTAAGCCAAACTAGAGTTGTACAATTTTATTTCTAATTCTTATCTCAAATTTTGGAAAATTCGTTAAACTTTATTAAAAATCCTAATATAGATCATTGGTTTGATGGCTGTTGACCAAACTGTTCCTTTTATTATTTCAAAAGCTCTGTAATAAAAAACCAGTAACCAATAAAAGAACGTGTACTTACTGTGGACAAGAATTTTCCTTTATTAATAGGCTGAATTAAAAACCAGTGAAAAAAATCAAATAGGTTAACACCGTGCTGTGTCACCGCCAGAAGTTTGCTTGTGAGGATTTGAAGTTCCGCCGTGAGAGAACGACTTTGTAATACTACTTGTTGAACTTCCCACAGTGAAGAGCCACTGTTTCCACTTGAGTGTTTAATTTACTTCGCAGTTTTATACTACAGCTCTGATGCCAAGCACTCGTGGGTAAAACTGAATGAGGGAACACGATGCGCTGCGCGCTGTTGGAACTTAACATGCATCACATGTATGTGCTTAGATTAGAGCTAACTTGGGCTTGGGGATTTTTAAAAAAATCGGGGTTGGGGGATGGAAGGAGAACGCATGGGACAGGAAATGTTTTTATGAAACATTTACAAGGCTTTTCTTCAATCCTTCGACTATAAATTTAAATCCTCTTCACCAGCCTATAATAAACAAAAAAAAAATTAAAAATTGTTTTTAGAATAATTTAAAAAACTTATAATTATTCTTTCTTCTCTAACCCTTCTTTCAAACTCAAAGACCTTAACTTAGATGATTCTTATATTATCGTCAAGTAAGTTTCACACGCAAGGTGTGTTTTGTTTTTAATATAAAAAATATATACATATTTTAAATATGTAAATATAGTTTTTGGATGTGCGTTGGAGAAAGAAAGAATAACATAGAGCGTTTCCTGTTCCTGACTGTTGACCTACATTCACATCACTGAGATCTTCAAAAACTTAAATTCTAATTTAAATTTATCTTGTGTTTATTATCGTATCGTGTGCAGAAGACGGCATCTGGCCTATACGTCCATTTAATTCTCGTGTCTTTTTTTTTTTTTTTTTTTTTTTTTTATTTTTAAAATTTTTTTTTTTTTTTTTTTTTTTTTTTTAAATATTAAACATTTCCTCTCCAATATAATATATATATATATATATATTGACATCAACCTGAACACATGGTCACCACTTTGTTTTGGATCGCCCAAGCTTACGAGGCAGACTCACTGTTGAGGCACACTCTTCAGAGAGTAAACGTACCGCTCCCCCCCCCCTCTCCCAAAATACGCACAGCAAGGCAGCAAGGAAACACAGAATTGCCTCAACTACATTATAATGACCCTAAGACACATGTTTCTTACATGTTGGAGAACATTCCAGACCCAGATGGGACGAAGAAGCCACCTGCGTATAATCACCGTTCGAAAATAACCTTGGTATCTTTTGACGCACTGGGCGAGCAACAACAACAACAACAACACCGTAGTCTAGCAGTCTATTCCGAAACAAATCGTTACAAAGAATAATACTTATAAAAACTTTAAAGTAATCTACAGACACAGTGTTGTTGATTACTGTGTGTATGTTTGTATTGTAGGTTTACTTTAACATTTCTTTTCTATATTTAGTATATTTCTATACATACTTTATCTCACTACATCATTTCATACCTTTTTCTCGAACTCTCCACGGCACCAGAGAAGTTATGTTAGTTTTAGTTAATTTTGTCCTTCACTTTTTTTTTGTTCCGCGAAAGAAGGCTTTTTGCCGTCACATTTTTTTTGCCAGGCTTTTTCCCTAACTTGTGCTACCAATTGCCCCCCCCCCTTTTTCAACCCACTTTTTTTTCACACCAATGATGCACCTCTGGATTCCACTTTGGGTAATAAAGTTACGTATTTGTATACCTAAAGATTATACAACTGTTTCTTTAAAGTTACGTATTTGTATACCTAAAGATTATACGACTGTTTCTTTAAAGTTACGTATTTGTATACCTAAAGATTATACGACTGTTTCTTTAAAGTTACGTATTTGTATATATACATAAAGATTATACGACTGTTTCTTTAAAGTTACGTATTTGTATACCTAAAGATTATACGACTGTTTCTTGAAAGTTACGTATTTGTATATATACCATACAGATTAGACCACTGTTTCTTTAAGCTTTGCACTAACATTTATGTTAAGCATTGAAAATCTTAATCAGCATATGTTTGTGAGTGTTTTTTTTTGGCTATGCTAATGCTTCTCAAATAGAAGTGTACCTGCGATTTGCGTATCGTGAGAGCCATTAATTTATGAGAAGTGGCTGAGAGCATTTCCCTAGTGGCAGCCTTAGGTTGGGTTAAATATCAAAATATTTTATTTTTTTTTGTGTGTTAAATGTGCGTCATATGTAGCTTAAATCTAAACCAACCAACCCAGGCGGCCGGCCACCCGTTGAACCTTCAGATCAGCAACGCAGTCCGCTAACGCATTCCATTATTTACAGAAAAGCGGTCGAGGAATGCTCCTGCAGAGAGGAGGTGACGAATTAACTTTTTTGAGCCAACCCTTCCCCCCACCCTCCCCAAAAATCTACAACCTTAGAAAACATAACTTCAGAGTAAAAAGAACTTAATAATGGAGACGCACGCTTTAAAAAAAAAAAAATGTTGTATATACCTCTGGATATTGTGTTGACTGGACATCACCAACTTTGAGTAGGCACACGGCCTGGTTATATTTGAACATAATAGTGTGTTAAATTATAAGGGCTAAGCGCAGGGGGTCCTCACACCTGCTGAGAATGGGGCGGTCACCCCGTTCTCTACACCTAAACGTCGGCCCTGCGGTTTCCCTACCCGAAAGTAAATAAATACAAGAGCAGCGGAGCAGGGTGTCACCAGAACAGGGCGTCGGGCAGAAAGAGCAATGTCCCACCAGAGCAGGGTGTCACCAGAACAGGGTGTTGGGCAGAAAGAGCAAGGTCCCACCAGAGCAGGGTGTCACCAGAACAGGGTGTCGGGCAGAAAGAGCAAGGTCCCACCAGACCAGGTTGTCACCAGAGCAGTCAGACTCGGTCCATGGAGGGTGTGTCACCATGAGTTCACCGCACTGAGGGACGTTAACCTTTGTGACGCCATGAGTTCACCGCACCGAGGGCCACTAACCTTTGTGACGCCATGAGTTCACCGCACTGAGGGGCCACTAACCTTTGTGACCCGATGAGTTTACCACACTGAGGGCCACTAACCTTTGAGACGCCACTGTAACTGTGCGCACTATAAACGGGTTAATTGGTTAAATCGTGCACAACATTTATTTGCGAAACACGACAGTATAACTTCATCGAATCAATCAGTATCAGAAATTAGAGAGGAATTCCGAGAAATGCACTAGCGGGAATGTGGTCAAACCTCACACCCACCAGGTGGCATAAACCAAACCGTTTAAATGCCTTTGTGCGCCATTGGCTTTAATGATATCATTTTAAAGGTGTTTTTCATCCACAGCGCCTGCACTGTGTTTGCGGTGCAGTCTTAAAAGTCGCGCTGCGATATAAATGTCGTCCCAAATCTTCTTTGCATTTCGGGAACTTTTCATCTGGGGAATGTTACTTTGAACAGGGGCGCTAAACCGAAAATTGGCAAAAGTCACGCGGCGGTGGTAATGCTTTTTTTATAGTGTGATGTAAAATGATAATACTTCTACATTAATTTTTCTTTTTTTTTTAAAATGTTTATAGCTGAGCCATTTGTACTCGTAGACGTCCATCTTCGCTGCAAACATTATTTTGCTGGTATATTTTTTCCGCTTCGGTTTTCTGTTTTTTGGTTTCTTTTTAAAGTTCGGGATCTAACTTCATAGTTCTAATAAAGAAATGCTTTGTTTCTAAGAGGGTTGTTTGCTCCTCTGACTCGGCTAGATGTGAGGGCGAGATGTTGGTCACCTCGAGTCCAAGCACTAAGGGCGCTCATTTAAAATTTGAAGTTAAACCTAATATCTGTTGTAAAATCACGCCGAGTACTTGTGTTGCCACTTTCCTGTTAGTAGAAGGTTTCTGGTCCGATACGTGTCACGCTTTTACAAGTGGTTCATAAGTGTGTTAGGCGTTATCATCCGGGTTCGTTTCTTTGTTACCTTTGTTTCCGAGATCTGACTTCTTGGAATACTTGGCTTAATTTTTTTCACCCACAATCATTTTTAAGCTTTTTTTAAACAATCCTGGTTCCCACCTCTTTTTTTTTTTTTTTATTTTTAAATAAATACATTTCTATTCACCCCTTTAGAACTAATATGCTTTCCACCAGGGTTCCCCACTTTTTTTTTAGCTTTTTTTAAACACTCCTGGTTCCCCCCTCTTTTTTTTTTTTTTTAATTTTAAATAAATACATTTCTATTCACCCCATTAGAACTAATATGCGTACCACCAGGGATCCCCACTTTTTGGAAACATCTTATGCCTCGCACAGAAACCGATTACGTCATAACTAAGAAACTGTAAAGAATCTTGCTGTTAGAGTTTGTTGTCGTCACTAAAAATCAATTCCAAAAAAAAAAAAAAAATTTTAATAAAAACCGGCAACACCCGAATACCGTCCCTTTTTTTTTTTGGCCCCAAACCCCCCCCCCCCCCAAAAAAAAAACAACAACAAAAAAACCAACAAAAAAAGCAAGAACCACGAAAAAGCAAAAAACAAAAACTAACAAAGAAAAAGAAATAACCAAACAAAAATCAAACAAAGCAAAGAAACAAGCTAACAGTAGAACGCAATTTAAACAAAAAACAAACTAACACACAATGGCTACCAACCGCCTCTCTTGCTATTTGGTCTTTTGCTGCCCACGGATACTACGTCCAAGCTAAGTGATATTTCTTATTTTTATTTTATACGGTTTTTTTTTTGTTTTGTTCGCTGACGAAGGCTTTCTGCCGACACGTTAGTTGTTTTGTTGCGTTTCTTTTTTCAGGTTTAACCCTACTCTGTTTTATTCATTTTACGTAGTCTTAGTGGGTTTTCGCTCATTAAAAATGTCTCAACAAATTTTTGAAAAGTACATAGTGGGAAATGTTAACCTTAAATATGCCGGATCTGCGTAGTTTAACACGAGTTAGTCCGCTTAAAAGCATACAATTCTCAAATTACTACGCCACTGGTCTCGGTTCGTGATGTCCAGTAAATATAAACAATCATTTTTCCCACGAACAATAATTGCATGGAACCAACTGGACAATGCCGCCGTGGACTCGACCATCAATCGAGAGTTTCAAGCCGTTGCACATATGCCAGTGCATGGATGCAGCACCGTAGTCTATCAGAATCAGAATCAGAACACGATATTCGGAGGTACAAGATAAAAGCATACAATTCTCAAATCGCTACGCCACTGGTCTCAAGCCTTATTATTTACACCTGTCGGCAAGCCAAACGAA